CACCAAGGGCGGTAAATCACGCGGGCCCTGTGAGGTTTTATCATCTGTGGCAAAAAAAAAAAAATCCTTAAGGAACCTTCTAATATGTGTAGGAGTGTTGATGCACCTTTCAACAGTTGATCCAATGGATCTACTCTAGTTGGGGCTTGCAATAGGATTTAGGCCATCCTGCATTAAATTACAGGTAGCATGTTGGTGAATGTCTGGTGCCAAAGTCTATTTGCTGAATGATAAGCAATTGAGAGTCGTACAGTTCAGCAGTAGAGTTGGATGGCTCAAGTTTCAGCTGTTATTATATTCTTTTGAAAAAGATCTCCAGGAGCAGAGCTAGGAAAGACCTTGAAATTTTGGTATTCCTGCCACTGGGAATAAGATAGTAGAGGTTTAGCGGGATCAGTGATCTCATGTTAAGCACCTCCTCGCCTTCCACATTGCAATCTGAGCTTCATGTTCCTCATTCCCAGCGCTCATTATTGCCCCATTTAGTGTTGATTGCTCTTCATCCTTGTATCTCTTTCTAGTGGTTGCCCTCCGCCAGGCTGAGCGACAGGCAGCAAGAGACAAAGCTCGCAGCGAGGAACTGGCCAAGCTTCAAGAGTCTGCCACACAACAGGAAATAGCCCGGCTGGAAGGGTGTGTACGGGAACTTGAGAAGGACAAGAATCTACTGATGGTATGTCCAAGGAGTGACAGGGCTATCTGCCCCCCTCCAGTGACTGTTGTAGGCGTCAGTGTCTGTCTCTTTGTTTGTACAGGTCACCCTGAGGCAGGAAGGGCTGTTAGCCCAGCATAGGCAGAATCGCCAGGCAGCTATCCAGAGCTTAGCAGGGACAACTGGAAAGTCTGAAGCCAAGCCTCCATCTAAAGGTAGAGAATCCTTCCTTCACATTTCATTTGGCTGCGGCTACTCATTGTAACAGACCAGTTTGGCTTCTCACAACCCGACCACCTGCGAATGCCAAAATTTCCTTTTCCACAATCCCTGGTCACTTGTCATTTTTCCCTCATGCTGACATTCCAGTTTCTTCATTCCCAGATTCTTGCGCTGCTCAATCTAACCCACCACAGGCTCTAAGATAAGAGCATTTTACTTCTTGCTTGTCTGTTCCTCTAGTCTCTTGTTCATGGCTGTGTTTCCACAGAGTCCCTCCTTGCTGTGCTGGATGACCTACAAGTTCTGGGTGCTGCTATCTTAGATGAAGAGGAAGTGGACAAGGACAGAAGTGCCAGCCCTGACACCGAAGAATAGTCTATGAAACAGCCATCTGTTTGGCCATGGACAGACTGTAGAGAGTCTTAATACATGTAAATAAAATTTATTTAAAGTTGCTTGTTTTTTAAATGCTCTGTCATGGAACCTATCCTTAATTTCTACATTGGATTTGGTCTCCTTTACCAATCTTAGTTTAAGACCTCCATCACATAAATTGCAGTACTCAAGCCATCAGTAAATTATATTTACAACTTGCTTTCCATGCAGCTTTCTTCTATGTTAGCTTCTCAAATCCATGACCAGTTCTCGGTAATTTAGGAGCCTTGTGGCACGGTGTCTAAATGGCAGTATGCAGCCCAAACTCTGATCACGACCCAGTTCAATCCTAAATAGCCAGCTCAAGGTTCACTCAGCCTTCCATCCTTCCGTGGTTAGTAATTTGAATGCCCAGCTTTCTTGGAGGGGGGAATGGGGGCAATGTGTTGCCTGCATAATTAAATTGTAAACTACCCAGAGAGTGCTTTAAGTGCTATGGAACAGTATATAAGCAGCACACTTTAACTTCCAACTGCCAAAACAGAAATGTAGCTGATACGCTAAGAAGTACAGTCAAATAATCAAGATTTAAAACCTCTTCTGCCAATCAAAATGAATTAAATTGGTTTGACCTCCAGTTTTTTAATACTCCTGTCATGTTCATATTGGCCACAAGAATAAGGGCCCTATCCATAGTTTGTACATGGGTACACATATAAACCCTACACCCACATCCTATCCTGGTCAGTCCTGCATTGCTGAATATGCAAAGATACGGTTTTTCAAGAAATCATGGCAAGTAATTTGAATTTTCCTACTTATTCCTGTCACATAATGTAGAAAGGCTTAAAACACTTTTTTGAGTCGTCTTATGCCCGCCAACAAAACAGTTAGTAGAGGCATGAAGACTGGGGTGTTGATGCTACTTCTGGAAGATAATGAGGAGGTCAGGCCTCACGGTGTCAGGGAGACCACCTTCTCCATTAGCAGGTGTTTTTGTCCTGAACCTTGGTTGAAATTTGGAAGCTTTCCCTTCAGTTAGGAACAGTTCATACATTCAGCAGAAGAGTGGATAAGAGACCTAAAGCAGCAGTTTTAAGGAGAGAAATTCAGCTGAGCCTTCACTGAAATACACAACTTTTTGCTAATAATTATGTCTTCACAGGACAGCATTTCAGCCCAGTCACTCAATCCTTTAATAATGTGCTCCATAGCATAAAAATCTGCAAACAGATGGAAGAAACAGTTTTTTTCTTTCTGGTTTACTTTTTCCTGCTTGCTGTCTTCTGTAGCACAACAGTGGGACTTCAGTCTAGTTATTTGTATTGTGCTGCCAGTACAGGGAAACATACAGGCAAAAGCGTACACTGGACCTGTGAGGGAAGAGCCTATGGCTTTCATCACTGGGAGAAGGTCTATGCTATCAAACTGCAAGTTCACTCTCTCCAGGATCGCTGGAAAGCTCAAATGCCTTTTGCCAGTTGTACTCCATAACTTAATCCCTGCTTTACCTCATTTTCACAATTCAGGCAGAAAAGGTCTCTCCCCGTGCCAAGAGTTTTGTTTTGTTTTTATCAGGGGAAGGAGGAAACCGCTGTCGGGGGAGCAGGCTGCAAAGTTCAGTGGCAAGCATCATGCTATTCTGTTTCTTTGCAGAGCAGCCCAGTTGATATGTAGGCTGCACAAAGAAATCGCTGCAGGTTTTTTACAGCCAAATTTTGCTGAATGGGGATTTTGTAGCTACAGGATTTGTAGGTTTGCTCAGACTGGCTGAAAGGGGGTCTGATAGCCACCTTGAAAGCGCTCCCTCCAGAGCATAAGATTACCTGCATACAAAACAGACATACAAAATGTCTGTGAATTTCATTGTATGGGTATACTGTGTATATACTTACAATGACAATAAACAAACAAACAAACAAATAAATAGGCAGTTACAAAATAGGGGAGAGTTTCAGCTTCCTCCAGGCCACCCAGTTTAGGAATGAGATCTCCCCAAAATGGCAAGCTAGGGAGTACATTCAAATGTAGAATACAGGCAAGAATTCAGAAAAGGACCGAGGAAAAGAAGGAATTAGAAAAGTCCCTCAGTTGTAAGGATGTGAAGGTGAAGAAGTTAACAGGGGAAAAATCATTTGAAATATGGTGTTGGAGGAGAGCTTTATGATAGTGGACCAAAAAAAAATGTAGGCGTTCAAATAAAGTCTCTTCCAGAGGAAATATGACACTCAAGCTTCAGTATTTTGGGCGCATCCTGTGAAGACAAGACTGGCTGGAACAGACAAGGATAACAGGAAAAATTGAAAGCAGGAGAAAAGAGGAAAACCAAATACAGTATGCGATGGATCGACTCCATAAAGGAAACCATGGCTTTGGGTTTTGAGTAGGGCTGGATGAGGCCAGGGCATTTTGTAGGTGGGTCATTCCTACCGTCACCCTCTCTCAGCAACAACTTGAGGGCAACTTGTGGTGTGTGGTCAAGTTGCTTATTAGGTGCGCATCTTGACTGTAGGCACATAACAACAACAACAATGAAGGACAGGGTCCGGCATTCGCCTTCCTCCAGCCCCAGAAGCGAGAACTTCGGAGACCTGACGCCACAACCAACACCAGCTGAACAGAAAAGAAATGCGGAGGGAAGAGGAAAACCCAGCTTCCCAAAACCTACGCCTCAGCCGGTGCCACCTCTGGCATGAGCTCCCGCCCGCGCATGCGTCGCTGCCGGGCGGCACCCCCCCATACTACCTCCCCGCCAAGCCGCCCATTCTCCTTTCTGTCGACCAACCAACCCGCCACAGGGCCGAGCCCCGCCCACCAAGCCAGGATTTTTTCACCGCCCCGTCCCCCCACAAGCCCTAACTCTCGCGCGCTCGAGTACGATAACCTCCCCACCCTCCTTTTAACCAATCCAAACAGGAGGACTTTCCTCCAGGAGACCAATCGGAGCGGGAAGTCGCGTCCTTCCTCCTTTCGCCTGCCTCAGCCGGACCAATCGGCGAGGAGCGCGCGCCGCTCGGAGCCCGGGCGGAGGCGATGAAGAAGACGAAGAAGACTCCGCCGGCTCCAGCTGTGAGGTCTCCGACGCCCATTTCCCTTTCGCCGCCATAGGTGGGAAGCAAGACAAACGGGGTCCTGGAATCCACGCCGTTTCGCCCGCGTTGCTTCAGAAACAGGCTTTCTGTAACGCGACCCAAGGTCCCGTTGACACCGAGGTTCCGACGTTCTCGAACCGTGTTGCCTGCCGAAGAGTTCTGTGTGTGCCGGAGAGCGGCAATCATATACCTCGTTGCTAAGGAAGCGTGAAGAAGGATGCGAAACGGGCCTAGACCCTGATAATCCCCAAGATTCCGCGCTCCTGGAGTGCAAAGGCACTGGTTCCCAGGGGGATCCAGACGATCCAGCCCGAGGCTCAAAGTCAAGGGCTGGCCGGTTCTGAAGTTGCACCGAGTCGCTCGACTCCTGGCTACACCAGAAGGTGCACGGGGTAGGGGGAACTGAGGGGCAAGGTGATTCGCTGGCTGCTCCTTGGGTTTTTCCCCCTTCGAATCATCACTGCCAGTGATTGGAAGGAAAGCATCCAGGGACACTTTGCACAAAAAGGGTATTTCTGGCTGTTTTTACGAGTCGGTTCGGCCGCAAATTGCACTTGAAGGACCACGGAAGCCTCATTTCTCGTTCAGGAGAAGGCACAAGTTGAAGAGAGGCTTCCGTGATTTTCCCTAGGAAGAAACGGGTCTTATGGCTGGGAGAAGTGTGGGTTTTTTTTTAGGAAAGCATCCAGGGACACTTTGCACAAAAAGGGTATTTCTGGCTGTTTTTACGAGTCGGTTCGGCCGCAAATTGCACTTGAAGGACCACGGAAGCCTCATTTCTCGTTCAGGAGAAGGCACAAGTTGAAGAGAGGCTTCCGTGATTTTCCCTAGGAAGAAACGGGTCTTATGGCTGGGAGAAGTGTGGGTTTTTTTTTTCTGTGCAAAGACGCCTCAGCCGGTGCCACCTGTGGCATGAGCTCCCGCCCCGCGCATGCGTCGCTGCCGAGCGGCACCCCCCCCTCCCAAATACCACCTCCCCGCCAAGCCGCCCATTCTCCTTTCTGTCGACCAATCAACCCGCCACAGGGCCGAGCCCCGCCCACCAAGCCAGGATTTTTTCACCGCCCCGTCCCCCCACAAGCCCTAACTCTCGCGCGCTCGAGTACGATAACCTCCCCACCCTCCTTTTAACCAATCCAAACAGGAGGACTTTCCTCCAGGAGACCAATCGGAGCGGGAAGTCGCGTCCTTCCTCCTTTCGCCTGCCTCAGCCGGACCAATCGGCGAGGAGCGCGCGCCGCTCGGAGCCCGG